GGGCTCCCCGCGTGACCGTGTCGCGTCGTGTCCGCGGGTGGCTCGGTGGCCGGGCGCGCCCGTCTGTCCCGGGTAGCAGAGGCTTCTGGCGTCGCCCTTCCTTTTGTGATCTTCTGTCTTAGAAACTGAAGTGCCTGTGACCATCTTCGTGTTAAAAGGCGTTTAGCCCGCTCCTCGCTTGGGAACCCACCGCCAGGGCCAGCGGGGGGCAGTGCCGGCGAGGAGGGGCGGTGGGGTGCGCGCCAGCTGGCCTGGAAGGGCTCGCTCCGCCCTCGCCACCCCTGCCCAGGCAGCGGCCAGCTCAGATGCGCTTTCACTGGGAAGTGCGGGGCCTTCGTGGGGGCCCGGGCGGGGACCCCCGCTGTCAGCATGGGGAGGCTCTCTGCACAGCAGGCCGTGCTTGCCCGCCAGAGCACGGCCCTCCTGCTCTGCTGCCTCAGCCCCGTCTCTGTCCTAGGAATATGAAGACAAGGCTGGACGGCCCAGCAAGCAGAATGTGAGGAAGAGCCTGGACTTCGAGCCCCTGTCCACCACCGCGCTCATCCTGGAGGACCGGCCAGCGTGAGTGCCGCGCCGCGGGGCCGCCGGGGCCGGCGAGGGCAGCAGGGGCCTCCGCTGCCTCGGCCGGCTGCTGTGCAGATGGGCCCGCGAGTCTGGGAAGGCGCCCTCCGGCAGAGGTGTTGGGACCAGAGTCTCCGTTTCGGTGACTTTTCCTTCTGATTCAGCGCTTGCAAGTATGGAAGCGGCTGAGGTGCGCCGGAGACCGGCTCGCGCCGCACGCACGTGGGCAGTGCCCGACGCGGGCTCTCACGGCTCCGCAGTGTGGGCCGAGCGCCGCGCCTGGCCTGGCACGGAGGCCACCGTGGCCGCTGGTCTCGGCACGTGCTCTCCTGGAAGAGCAAACGGGGTCCTTGGCCCCGAAAGGCCCCACTGCCATAACGAGGGGTCCTCGGCGCCCCTGAAAGTGTGCACACGTGGCTGTCTGCGCGGCAACCCCGGGGGCCGCGGCCGCG